GCTAGTGTGTCACCAGAGCAGGTGGAAGAGGAAAAAATGCTCTTGTTTCAAGCCACTTTCCCTTCTATCTTGAGTATATCACAATCCAAGGACAGATGCTATGGCAATCTCCAACATCCTGAAGGCTGTGTTTGAAACCATGTTCACTGGCCACCCTTCTCTATGGCCCATTCTGTTTCAGGGACAGCTCCCGACTCCCTCATATCTCAGGGTAAAAGCACTAGAATGGCTTCCTCTCACTTCCCTGAGGGTTCTGTGTCTAGTCAGCCTCTGCAGATGCCTTTCCTTCCGGAGAAAAGCAGGATTGAATCTGCTGACCCAGCACCAGACAGTAAATCCAGTCTGAAGGTCTCCAGGGGGCGCTGATAAAGGTACCTCTGCTCTGAGGGTCTGCAGCTGTTCAGACCCCACGGCCGGTGGCTATCTCTGGGAGAAGGGCTATGCTGGAGTTTCTGCCATTTGATGCAGTTCATCTCCCTGGTCATACCTGGGCAGAGGAAAGGTATAGGAAGGGAAGCTACTTTCTCCCAGGTGCTGACCCACACAACACCTGAGGGGGGCCTATGCCAAAGCAGGACAAAGTTTCACAAGATTGCAACTGATCTTCTCCCTTGAGGGTGAGCTCAGCCCTAACTGAATGGAGCTATCAGATTCCACCAGCTAACACTTTTCCTGGACCTTCTCTCTGAACTATTACTCCCTCAAACAAGCCAAGAACCATGGGCCTGCCACGGTTCCTTCTCTCTCAGTCTTCAACCTTCACTTTCAAACGTTCCCAGAGTCCAGTTGACCACACCCCTCGAAAAAAGGAAGGAAAAGAAAAGGGGGTGGGGGTGCCAGGGATGTAACTCAGTCGTGCCTTACCTGCCTGGCAAGTGCAAGGTCCTGAGTTCGATTCCTGGTATCAAGAAAAAAAAAGCTTTCCTCCAACAGGCAGCTCTGATTTCTACCCTACCTCCCCAAGACCACCATCTCTGCTCTGATCTGAGCCTCCAGCTCTCACTGTGTGTGATCACTGCAAAAGCCCCTACAGAGAATCCACCCTCACTATCCCCATCCACCCTCCTCAGCACCCAAAGCACTTTGGAAGATGCAGGTCTGCTGCTGCTTTTCCTCTACTGAAGGCAGCCATCACCAACAGGATGCAAAGTCCAAGCATCTTCAGCATGGGGTGCTATCAGGTCCCTTCACACCCCGTGCTGGAAGCCCTTGGGGTTCCTAAAGTGCCACACACACGAGGCACACAACCACATCTGTGCACACTGCTTCTCCTGCCTGGAGTACTTTGTAGACCCCCCACAAAACTCTATTTACTCCTCAAGATCCATTTTAAAAATATTTTGTTTTTGGTACCGGGAATCAAACTCGGGACCTTGAGCTTGTGAAGCAGGCAGCGAAACAACTGAGCTAAACCCCTGGCCCTCCAGCTCAAATTTTAAAGGCTCTTCTTCAATGTCCTCCTCATCCCCAAGATGAATCACTCCTTCCGTTTGCGCAGTTCCCACAACATACATGCTGCATAGCCTTTTGGGAGAGACTCATCAAGCTCCATGCAAATGTCCATGTCCATGAGTTTTACGCCTGTCCCTGTCCCTGCTGGGCTACAGCCTCCTACAGGGCGAGGTTTGCCTCTAATTCTCTTCCTCTCCCAGTACTCCATACACGCCAGCTGCACACAGGAGCTTCTGTATTTTGAGCCATCAGTCACTATCACTGTTCATAACGCTTCCTGATCATGCTAATCCAGACAACAGACTGGGGTTACTTGTAGGCACTCACAAAGAAAGAATTCTAAATACATTTTCTCCTGAGTGTACCTCAAAAAACTTTTTTTTTTTTCTATTGCAGCCTTATTTCTGTTTTGAAAAATGATTCTTTCAGAGAGCCACACTGAATCATCTGCATCACTCCTGTACCTACGGGGTAAATTCCCCACAGATTTCCTCTTCAACAAGAATACAATAAAATTCTGTGATCTTGTGACCCCTCAGGACGGTTCTGACAGCTCGACAGGACACAGTTCTAGTTGCTATAAATTGCTTCAACTGATTCCTGGAAATTCTTTCCTGCAGGCTGCAATAAAAGCTAACACCAAGCTTTCACTTCTTGGTGAGTGCTAAATACTCAACCTGCAACATCTGTAACTGCCCCACTAGGGAGCTACTTTTAGCGTTCCTGTTTTACAGATGAGAAAGCTGGGCATTGAGAGAAGATAAGTGACCAGTAGGGCTGGGATTAGAACCCTCACCTGTCAGGTGGCATAAACAGCTCTTAGCCACTACACCTAGTGCTATGCCCAGAGGTCAAATTAAAGGCACAAATGAGCAAATGCAACAGCCCTTACAACTGGGCTTCTGAGAAGGTAGCCTCACATCAGTAGGGTGGCAGCTTACATAACTGCAATCCCAGAAAGAGAAAAGTCCATGTGTCAGGCATTTCTTTGCCAAGCCCAGACCCACGCAGAGGGCTAGCCCCTGGCTGCAGTGCTTTCTCGGTGGAGACCCACTCTACTACCCCAGTACCAACTCTCCTCCCTCAGAAGCCTGCAGTGATCTCCAAAGAGGTCCATCTCTGCTCTTCCTTCCCTCTTGTACTAGAACTCCAAGGAGATCCGTTTATAACATAGATTCATTCATGTCACTCCTCTGCTCACTGTCTCCCCAGTGCCCTGGGCATAAAGTTCCCAATCCTTAACAGATATTCCTTTGTCAACTTATATTGCTTCATCTTACACCATGTCAACTTCTATACTATAGTGAACAACAATCTCAGGTTTCAGGAATAAACTATGAATCTCTCTTGCAGGAGAACACATTCCTTTTCATTCTCACCTAGCTAAGCCTCCCTCTTTTCTCCTTCAAGATTTGGCTTCAGCTTCCTTTGTGCCAAGACTTCCCAAGATGAGCAAGCAGCTTCCTCTGCTGGGCTCCCACAGCATCCTGTTCTTCCTGCTACTAGTTTGTTTGTTTATAATGGTACTGAAGACTGAGGTTCACATATGCTAGGCAAGTGCTCTACCACTAAGCTAAGTCTCCAATCCTTTTTATTTTGAGCCAGGATCTTACTAAGTTGCCAGGCTGAGCTGGAATTTGAAATTTTCTTGCTTCAGCCTCCTGGGTAGCTGAAATTACAGGCTGCTAGCCTTTTCAAATCACATTTCAGCTATTTGTTTACAGGTCAGTCGTCCCTAACCAGGTCAATGAACTCTTTGAAATAGCACTAGCTAATGCTTACCAAACTCTTATGTGGTAGACAGTTCTATATATTCTGTATGTGTTTGTTAACTTTTTAACAGTTTTATAACTCTACAGTATCATCACTGTTTTATAGATGAGGCAGAGAGGTTAAGCAAAACGCCTAAGGTCACACAACTAGAAAGCTGCTGAACACAGGAAGTCTGGCTCCAGCACCTACTTTTTTTTTTTTTTTAAGACAGAGTCTTGCTATATCATCCAGACTGGGCTTGAACACACTATGTAGCCTAAGCCAGCCTCGAACTTGCAGGTTATCCTCCTGCTTCAGTCTCCTGAATGCTGGGATTACACACATGAGCCACCGTGCCTGGCTTCCACTAGCTACTCTGAGCCACTATACTACCATATATTACACTTGCCTCTACAAGCAAGGACCCTGTTATGTGATGGATGAATGAATGAATAAGGCTATCTTTAGGCAGTCTAGAGCTAATCCATAAACAGCTGGCATAGCAGGGTCAGTAAGCAGCGCTGGAGGAGTTCACTCATACAGCATACAAATAAGGATTCTCTGGTCCCTACAATTACACATTCTGCTCTTCCTTATCTCATGCCAAACAATTCAGCCAAGAGGGAAAGGAGCCCAACCCAAGATGACTACCCTCTTCCTCATGGTTCTCAAAACCAAGCAAAGCCAACTGGTTTCCTCCAGGGACTTAAAACAGAGCAAAGTCTATCCTGCGACAGAATATGACTGTCATCCCTTCCTTCCTTAAGCCAAGAAAAAGGCAACAAACCCGGGGAGTGTGGGTGGGCAGAGAACACCACGGGGAGTCCGACTACGCAGACCCATGGAAGGTGGGGCCAAGTGGCGTGGGAATGGGCGGGCCTGACCCGGCACGGCAGGTGAAACGCTGACCACAGGCAAGGTCTCCCCCCTTGAAGAAGACCAGTCAAATGCGGACCTGGCAAGCAGGTAGCTTTCTCGTTTGAACGCCGCCCAGGACGCGAAATTCTCCAACAGCCATGGGACCGGGGCCAAACAGTGAGGGGTCCAGGAGGAAGCCCTGGATAGCCCTCCCTGGGGAATCCGTCCTAACTTTCAAGTCATTCTAGAGATCAGAAGGGAAGCAACGAGAGGCGGAGGGCGTCTCTTTGGGAAAACCTGTCTGCGTTTAAAAGCCGGCTGCTAAACTTACTGTGAATGGCTCCGGGCAGGGCCGGTAGTGCCCACTCTGTAAGGGCTGTGGCAGGTACTGAGTCTCCCTGCGGCCCTGTGGCCGGAGAAAGGCAGACCCCAGACGGATGAGGGGATATTCGCCGTTGCGATTTCTGTCACCCCGGTCCCACCGCCACGGCCGCTGAGGCCCTCCCCGCCACCCTGCAACGCCC